CCACGTGACGTGCCAAGGGACGCGCCGCGTGACGTGCCAGGGGAACTCGCCACAGGACGCGCCACGGAACGTGCCAAAGTCCGTGCCAAGTTGCAATGTTGAGTGTATCGATCTTGATTTACCGTGCCGAGGGCTGTGCTGTGCAGCGCCGTGCTGAATAGCGATGTGCCATGCCGCGATTGTGCTCTATAGCGTTTTGGATCGAGTCCTGCTTTGCATCCGAGTCCTGACCGAACTGATCTGGATCTTAAGCTCGAGCTGCCTCAGCACATAGTAGCTGCCCCAGAGCTAACTCAAAAGGGGCATGCCAGGAAGACGCGCCGCGGAAAGTTCCAAGGGACGCGCCAGGCGACGTGCCAGGGGACGTGCCACGGGGACGCACCGCGGGACGTGCCAAGGGGACGCGCTACAGAACGTGTCAATGGACATGCCACGGGACGCGCCAAGGGACGCGCCGCGCGACGTGCCAGGACGCGCCACGGAACGTGCCAAAGAACGCACCAGGTTGCAATGTTGAGTGAGTGTATCGGTCTTGATGTACCGTGCCGAGGGCTGTGCTGTGCTGCGCCGTGCTGAACTGCGATGTGCCATGCCGCGATTGTGCTCTATAGTGTTGTGGATCGAGTCCTTCTTTGCATCCGAGTCCTGACCAAACTGATCTGGATTTTAAGCTCGAGCTGCTTGAGCACTTAGTCCACATAGTAGCTGCCCCAGAGCTAACTGACATGGGAACATGCCAGGAAGACGCCCCGCGGAACGTTCCAAGGGACGCGCCAGGCGACGTGCCAGGGGACGTGCCACGGGGACGCACCGCGGGACGTGCCAAGGGGACGCGCTACAGAACGTGTTGGGGACAAGCGTCGTGTTGGTGGCCTGGACACGTAAAAACACGTGGTGCCAGCTCGGGACAACCATGTTAGATGCCCCCTGGGAGGAGGAGGAGGAGAAGGAACACGACAACGACGATTCCGATGACGACTGCGACGACGACAACGACGACGACGAAGACGCTGACGACGACGATGACGACGACGGGGACGAGGACGACGACGACGACGCTGACGTCAGCGACGCTGGCGACTCCCACGACGACGACGACGACGACGACGACGCCGACGACGACGACATTGACGGTGACTCCTACGCCGACGACGACACCGGCGGGGTAGGCGGCGACGACGCCGACGATCCCGAGGACTCCCTCGATTTCGACGGCGACGCCGTTGATTCAAACGTTTTTTTCGATCTGGACGACTGCGACGACGTCTACAATGATGCCGACGACGATTGCGACGAAGTTCCTGATTGCTACCACGATTCCGACGGTGTGTTCGCACCAGCCTTGCTGGTGCTCTTAGGCTTTGCGCGCGTGATCGAATCGCAGGCCTCTGTTGTGTTTGCAGGCATCGAATCGTGCTCAGGCGCATACGATGGCGATTCACAGCGCGCCCCCGCCCCGACGGACCCCGCCATGCCCAAGCGTTTGGCCCCAGACCCCTTCCCCCGGTATCGGCCGTTACCCGACAGAACCAACGAAAACTATCTCTAGCCTAGACGGGTATACCGTCCGACCGAATTCGGGGAATCACGGATGCCTGGGCAAGTCCATCTTTGGACAAGTAGTACAAGTTGTTCGTTTGATTTCTGTTGGTGGGGCGCGCGAGAAAATGCGACAACCAGGAGCCGTGGAGAAGGGGAACCGTCATTAGGAGTTCACACATGAGCCAGTATGAATCAAAGCGGCCGCAAAAAAAAATGCGTAAAATTTGGAACGGTTCTTTGACGACCCCCGTTTTCTGTCCGACCCGAGAGGGACATGGGATGCGGGGAGGAGGAGGAAGGGGAATTGGACACGGGAGGAAGAGGACGAGGGTGAAGAGGATGGGAGCCCCCCTTTGGCGCGGTTCGAGGTGCTCGTCAGCGACCCGGAGCGTGCCCTACAGATGGAGGTCGTCCAGCCCCAGACGGACGAAGAATACGCACAGCGGCTCCAGGTCCGGGAGGAGGACCGATGATTTGTCGTGTTGTATTTCCCGGGAGGAGAACACATAGGGGAACCAATTCCGCGTGTTTGCCCGTATGTAAAAAAAACCGTTCGAAAACAAACACGCGCAAAAAAAAATCACACGCACACGCACGCACACACACAGACTCACTCACACGCGCACGCACGCACAAAACACAGCGCGTGTGTGTGTGTGCACGCATGCATTTATGAATGTATACAAGGATTTATTGTGATGTAATGTTATGTGGTGAAATGGAATGGAATATATTTGAACGTAATGGAATACAAGGCCATACAATGCACTGTCATGTAGTGCGAATGTATTGCGGAGTAACGAAGTGCAATAAAATGCATTGTGATGGAATGCAATGTAGTGCAATGTAGTGCAATGTAATGTACTGCACTGTAATGTAATGTAATGTAATGCTATGTAATGGAATGTAATGCATTGTAATGTAATATGTAATACTGCCATGACATAGAAAGTAACGTAGTGTAAGGTTATGTAACGTGAATAATGTAACGCAGTGTAGCGTCATGGCATGTAGTCATACCGTATGTATGTGTGCATGTATGTATGCATGTACATATGGATGCATGCATGTACGTATGGATGGATGTATGTCTGCATGCATGTATGTATGCCTGTCTGTATGTATGTATGTGCCTATGTACGCATGCGAGTGTGCATATGTCTGTGTGCCTGTGTGTCTGCATGATTTTACGTGTCGTCTTCTCCCTCCCGCGCCACGCCCCCTCTCCCCCTCCTCTCCCTCCAGACCCTGTACCCAGTCCCCCCCTCACTTGCTCTTCAGCTCACCACCTCCCCTCTGCCCTCCAGGCCGACGGGCAGGCAAGCCAGCTGGCGGGTAAAGCCCCGACGGGGCTGCGCGTGCCAGGCCCTCGGGAGGGCGGCCAGTCTCCAGTCGACGTGGCGGCGCGCTTGCTCTGCTCCGCCTCGCCGGCCACACACGCGCGCGTGCCCCGAGGGGGTGGCTGGGGAGGAGGTGGAGGAGGAGGAGGAGGTTTGAACGCGACAGGCTCGCTCCTTGCGCTGGTCTCACGTAGAAGGAGGAGGAGGAGGAGGAGGAGGAGGAGGAGGAGAGCGCCACCCAGGAGCATTGAGCTTCGCCACGTCCCGCGAAGCCTGCATGCAGCGCGTCTCGATACACGGCCGAGGCCACGGCCATCCATGGTTTCCCCAGCCCAGACTCGTGGTTCTTCTCCCCCGAAATTCAGGGAAACGTAAGGTCCGATGTCGCCTGAACTCGGGATTGTCGACGCTTTTTGACGGGCCTGTCTTGAGTTTTTACGGTCCAGTTGTCGTGCAAAGTTGGTATCGTGAGATCGCGTCAAATTTCGGATTGGGTCTCGTCTTTCTCCTGAAGGCCCCGTCAGGCCAACCCGAGTCCCCCGAACCCGAGTATTCTGCTTTTATGGTAAACATTTGGTCTGTAAGGATTCAGTCAATAGTTTTCCTTTGAACATTTTGTCTGTTTGTCTGTAAGCGTTCAGCGTTGTTTTTGCCGACGCCCAGTCAGGGATGCCAGCCACCCGAAATCGCTGGCCCGTCGTGGCCCCCCACCGTCAACTGCGCGCAGTTAACCCGCGTGGTAAGGATGAACAACTTGCCAAGGTTGCCCTTGCATCCTTCCCTTTTGGCACATCCTTGGCCGCTTCCGCTGGCCGCGCCCCGCTCGCAAAGCGTCGACGTGGCCTTCAAAGGCTCTTGCATCCCTGTCGTGCGTCCTTATTGGGAAGGCCTAGCGGCCGGTGCCGCCAACCCTGAATGGGAACGGCGACGACGACGGCGGTGGCGGCGGCAGCGGCGACGACGACGCTGACGCTCTGGAGCCTGTCTTGGGACTCTCTTCGGATCCTCTTGGGCTCTGCTGGGGCTTGGGCATCCCTGTCGTGCGTCCTTATTGTACGGGTTGACTGCAGAGCTGTCTGGGGGCTTCTGCCGCAGGGGCGACATGCCTCACGCGTGGCCGGGCGCGTACTGCAGAGCTCCTCCGCCTCCCGCCGCCGCCGCGGCCACGGGCACCCGATTCCAAAGAGATCAACAAACTGTATCGGCATACACTCCGGTCGTTGAACATTCCTCCTCCTCCTCCTCCTCGGCCTCCTCGTCGTCGTCGTCCGTCTCCTCCTCTTCTTCCTCTTCCTCCTCCTCCTCCTCCTCCTCCTCCTGGCCAAAACAGCTGTATATTTTGGGCGCCTTCCTGCTTCAGTCATCGAGCGCTTGTCTCTCTTCCGCCCACCTCAGGGGGTTTGGCGGAAGCCCGGTCAACTTCCGACGCCTCCCTGCTTCTCATGGTTCTATGCGCTTCTTCCGGCCCACGGGCACATGTTCGGAGATCCGCGCTGCTTCCTTGGATCGGCGCCGACTCCATCATCCTCTCCCAGCCCCCCTCGCTTACTTCTCCCCCTCTTGACTGTCTCATCGGGGGAAACGATAGGGGGGATAGGCATAGGGGGGGTTGCATCGACCCCCAATCGCCCATTGATCGCCGATAGGGGCCCGATAGCCCCAACCTGCCCAGAACGGTGTGAATTCACTATCGGGGGCCTGTCGCCGATCTATCGGCGATGCATCGCCGATTCCAGGTCGATGCATCCCCCCTACGCCAGTCCCCCCTTATCGTTGCCCCTCATCTCCGCCCCGTCCCCGCTTGGCTTCCGTCGCGTGGGGCCACGGCAACCCGCTGCCGCACGCCCGCGCGCCGCCCTCCGCGGCGCGTCCCGCCCAGCTGATGGCCCGGCAGCACCTCGCGCACAACCTGAGCGCTCGCATCTGGGAGGCGGCCAACACTCTGACCGACCCCGTGTGGGGCGCGCCCGTGGGCCCCCGGGCGCACTCCTCTTCCTCCTCCTCCTCCTCCTTCTCCCTCCTCCTCCTCCTCCTCCTCCTCCTCCTCCTCCTCCTCCTCCTCCTCTCCTCCTCCTCCTCCTCCTCTCGGTCAGTCTCCTCCTCCTCCTCCTGCTCCTCCTGGTCAGTCTCCTCCTCCTCGCCGTGGTGGGCACGCGAGGGGCAGGAGGGGGAGGAGGACGAGAAGGACAAGGAGGCTGAGTTGGAGAGGCTCCAGAACGTTACAGTCCGAGGGTTCCAGTTAGAGCAGCGCGGGAAAGTCGGGGAGACAGAGCTGGAGGAAGGCGGGACGAGGGCGTGGGGGAGGGGCGCGGAAGACGACGACGAGAACGAAAGGAGGGAGGGAGGGCGGCAGGGGGTACGTGCAAAGGCAGGGGCTCTGCGAGACTCGGCTGGCCATGTGGCCCGCTGGCGTGTTGTCTTGTGGCGGGCTCCTGCAGACGACCTTGCTGAGGCCCAGCTTCAGGCCCAGAGTGACAGTGGGAGGAGGAGGAGGAGGAGGAGGAGGAGGAGGAGGAGGAGGAGGAGGAGGAGGACGAGGAGGACGAAGAAGAGGGAGGAGGAGGAGGAGGAGGAGGAGGAGGAGGGGCGTCTAAGAGGATCCAGCAGCACGAACATGCACTTTCGAAGGTCCGCGCGGAGTTCTCGGATCGGCGCTGGACCCCCCCTCCCTGGGCGGCGCCAGAGGCGCCGCCAGGGAGCTCACGCGCCGATCCAGGAAATCCGCGTGGACCTCAAACAGTTCATGTCGGCGGCGAGCGAGGGGGGAAGTGAGAGGCCTTCTCAGGAGGCGTCCAGCCTTCTGAGAGGCTTTCTGCGTGTTGGTGCAAGGTCTGGAAAATATAAATATCAGAAGGCTGGAGGACGTCCGAGCCCTCTGAGAAAGCTTTCTCCTTTATCGAGAATAAAAGAACCCCTGACCTGAGTGACACAGTGAAGACGTGGCCTCACCAAGGCGATCATGTTTGAGTTAGGGATAACTCATACATCTGGCTGGTTTGGTTCGATCATCTGCAGAAAAGAGCCCCACATCCCTGATGTTTGTGGCCCTCCTACCTCAGGTTCCCTCCCAACATTTTCGGGGCCCACAAGGCCCCTTTTTTGGCAAATCACCAATCGCCGAGCGCGTTCCACTACTCGCAAAGTGCCTACTCGCAAGCGTCCGAATCAAAAACAGGTTTCTTCGATGTAACGTATCGTAAATCCCCCGCGGCGAATCAAGGCAATTTGAGAGTAGTTGATTTGCGAGTAGCGGAACGCGTTTGTCCAATCAAGGGGTCTGGAGCTGAGAGGATGGGAGCGATCGATCGGAGGGGCGCGGAGATGCGCACACGGAGGGTCCTCTTGAGGGCACGGCCCATGCTCTTCAGGTCCTCCCCCGTGGTGGGAGGCAGGGGGGCGCGCGAGGGAAGGCGCACGGTGAGAAGGCTACCGACGGCGCGCGGATGTGGGCGGGCCTTCGTCGCGCCTGCCAACCCTGGAGAAGCGGAGGGAGCAGAGCACCACACGAGGAGGAGGAGGAGGAGGAGGAGGAGGAGGAGGAGGAGGAGGACGAGGACGAGGACGAGGAGGGCCTCGGTGTCCTCGCCGCCGATGGTGTTTGGTTACGCGTTGTGCCGCTCCTCGAGGGAAGGCCCGCGGGGGGCGGGGCGACCGCCGCCGAAGCCCGGCGGCGGGTGCGGCGGCGGCGGGGGCCGGTCGGGCTGCTCTGGCTGCTCGGCCGGGGCCAGGCCACGTGGAGTTCAGTGCCGTCGAGATCAACGAGCGCTGGAGGAGTAACCGGAGGAGTGGCGGCGCAAGGTCGGAAAGTGGAGCATGTGCATTGCCAGTGGCGGGCTGTCCTTCAATCCCCGAGCTTTTTGAGGGTCGGGGACGACGTCGGGGCGGTGTGGTGTCTACTCGTTTCCCCGCTGTCCCGGGGAAACGACGAGAAATGTATACACCAGGATCCCGCATACATCACGATCCGCTTTCCTGTGCGGATCGTGGTGTAAGCGAGGCTGGAAAAAGCGTCGCTGTATCGAGTTCGGCTCTTTGTGTAAAGATCAAGCGGGGAGACTGCTCGACATGTCGTGCCCTTGTCTAGCAAGTGCTTCCCCTTTCCGCCTCCTCCGCATCCTGTTCCCGCTCCTCTCAATCTTCTTCCTCCTCCTTCTCCCCCTCCTCCTCCGCCTCCTCCTCCTGCTTCGCTCCCGCGTTAAGCGGGCGCGGAGGAGGAGGAACTCGGACGAGGGCTGCGTCCGATTCCTCCGCCTTACTTTTCAATATCAGCGTGGTGATAACTCTCTTGGTTATCGGAGGTGAGGGGGTGAGATCAAAGTGGAACGGAGAGCCCCCCTACCGGGAAATCGGTTTCGGTTTTGTGTTCGTGCGTGCCGTGCGTGCGGGCGAGGCGAAGCTGCGTGGGCGGGCGAGAGGAAAGTCTCCTGTGGCTGAGGCGCGGCCGGACCAAGTGGTTCCCTTCCTGCAACCGGTGCCGCGCGGTGTCCCGCCAGTGTCCCGCCTCTGGCTGAGGCGCGGCTGGACCAAATGATTCTTTTCCAGGGTCCGGTGCCGCGCGGTGTCCCGCCGGTGTCCCGCCGGTGTTGTCCCGTCGGTGTCTCGATGATGATGATGATGATGATGATGATGATGATGATGATGCTGATGATGATGTTGATGATGATGATGATGATGATGATGATGTCGATGATGTCGATGATGTCGATGGTGATGATGATGGTGTTGGTGATGATGATTTTGTCCCAGCAATGATGATGATGATGATGATGATGATGATGTTGACGATGCTGATGATGATGATGGTGGTGATGATGATGGCCATTGTGGTGATGATCATGGTGTCCCGATGTTGATGATGTTGATGATGATGATGGTGTCCCGATGATGATGATGTTGACGATCCTGGTTATGTTGATGATGATGGGATGATGATGATGCTGATGATGATGATGGTCATGATGATGATGGTGTCCCGATGATGGTGGTGATGATGAGGTTGATGATGGTGCTGTCGATGATGATGATGGTGATGATGATGATGGTGCCCCGATGATGATGATGTTGATGATGATGGTGATGACGATGATAGTGTCCCGGTGATGATGGTGTTGATGATGAGGATGATCTGGTGATTGTGATGATGATGATGATGATGATGATGGCGGCCCGATGATGATGATGCTGATGTTGATGATGATGATGGTGTCCCGATGATGATGATGGTAATGATGATGATGATGATGATGATGATGATGGTGACGATGGTGGTGTCCCAATAATGATGATGTTGATGATGATGTTACTGGTGATGATGATGGTGTCCCGATGATGATGATGATGATGATGATGATGATGATGATGATGATTATGATGATGATGATGATGATGATGATACTGGTGATGTTGTTCGTGATGATGATGATGATGATATGAGATGAGATGATATGAGATGATGATGATGAGATGGTTGTGTCCCGATGCTGACGATGATGATGTTGATGATGAGGGTGATGACGATTATGTTGCCCCGATGGTGATGATGATGGCGATGATGATGTTGATTATGATGGTGATGAGGTAATGATGATGATGGGGTCCCGATGGTGGTGATGATGATGTTAATGATGACGTTGATGACGATGATGTTGATGATGAAGACGTTGATTGTGAGATCGATTGTGATATCGATAGGGAGATCGATAGTGAGACCGATCGTGAGATCGATAGTGAGATCGATAGTGAGATCGATTGTGAGATCGATCGTCAGATCGATAGTCCGATCGATTGTGATATCGATCGAATGAAATAGATCGAGTGAGATCGATTGTGAGATCGATCGAGTGAGATCGATCGAGCGAGACCGATAGTGAGATCGATTGTGAGATCGATTGTGAGACCGATCGAGTGAGACGTTGGTTCCTCCCCCGCCGAACCTCCTTATCACCCGAAGGGTGGTCGTATGGGTATTCGTCTTCCCGTCCTCCTCCTCCTCCTCCTCGTCGTCCCCTCTCCCGCCCAGGGTTTGTTTTTTATCCTCCTTCCCTTCTGTCGAGATGTCTCTCCTCGGTCCCCCCAACCTATTCATGCCTCACCATCCTCAGTCTCCTCTTTCACTCCCATCCTCCTCGACCCCCCTCCTCTCAGAGAAGACTTTCGATGGCAACTCTATGTCAGAACTGTAGGATCAGATTACAGGACCTGCAAGAACGATCCCCGCACAGGGAGAACATAGGACAGCCCCCCCGGGAGGCCGTCCTTCCTCAGCGACGCAGCCGGCTTCCCAAGCCACCGGGAGCATGCCAGCCTGTCGAACCGTAAGCCCCCAAGGCTTGCACACCTTCCTCCTCCTCCTCCTCCTCCTCCTCCTCCTCCTCCACCTCCTCCCTCCTCCTCCCACCCCCCCCTCCTCTCCTCCTCCTCCTCCTCCCACCTCCTCCTCCTCCTCTCCTCCTCCTCCTCCTCCTCATCCTCCCCTCCTCCTCCTCCTCCTCACCACCACCACCACCATCATCATCATCATCATCATCATCATCATCATCATCATCATCATCATCATCATCATCATCATCATCATCATCATCATCATCATCATCATCATCATCATCATCATCATCATCATCATCATCATCATCATCCTTCCCCTCCTCCTCTTCCTCCTCCTCCTCCTCCTCCTCCTTCTC